TGAAAGTAAAGCACATGAGTATATCTCTCGAGTTGGAGAGTTGAACGTGTAGTTTGAAATTTCGCAAATTGCATCCAGAGTTGATTGACTCTTTGCGGTTCGAGTGTTTTAGTAATAAGGATTTATATAATGAGTCATAATGGATAATATCGACGGGGGACTAGTTGTAGGTTGTAGACTTTTCCTTGGATTTTCGTATCGAATAGAAAGGTCTGATTGTTGCTGAGAATTGTTTGCAACATTTCAGCTTGTTTCAAATTCAGTGGTATAATAATTCATGACAAGATTCTATTAAATATTATTACCACAAGAGGTGATATTATTATTCTGAGGATGTAAGCTAAGATTATAACGATGCAAAAGGATTTCTTAAAAATCCAAAAAGTCTAAATACTTCGAGTTTCGACCTGATCCAAATTCTTTCACCTTGTGCTGTACACGGTGATAAAATTGCTTCAATTTTTATTTCGTGAACGAACGAGTTACGATCAAACGTTGAAAAACGTGGCGAAGTTGCAAGTATGAATGCGCGGAAAGATCGTTTGGTCCTCGACGAGGCGAATGATGATCGTAACTTTTCTGCAATAAAACCGAATAGACGATCGTGTTATTTCGTCGCGCTATTTTCACGACGTGCCACTGCTATTACAACTTCTTCGATCTAACTCTGTTGTGTTTCACATTCTTTCGCGTCTGATTGCGTGTGGACGATCCTCGAAATTGTTTTCAAGTTTGAGGCCAGAGTGGACGTTGCTCGCGGTTCGCGAACTATACATCGAAAATCGACACAACAAGAATCTACATTTTTAATCCCTTGAGAGTTCGTTGAATTTTCGGGAAAATTTTTTCGTTTGGAAAAGAAACATCCATTTCTATTTTACTATATAAATAATCAGTATTATATTACATTGTTATGAAATACCATATTTATTAGAAATTTTGAATATAGGTGTATAACATGATTTACTGATAAATAAATGATGCACTTTGCATTATTATTGCAACTAGTACTGTAATACAGATTAGGCTGGCTATAAAAAAATACAGATATGTTTTATACCTCACAAGGTCAGGTTCATCTCTGTCTGTTTCTTGCTATAAAAAAAAATTCAGTCATTCTCTGTTTGAAAAATTGACGCGCTAAGAGCTTTAAAATATCGAAACTTGTCTGAACACAAGTGTTTACTGAATTCAAATGAATTTCCTGGTACCACCAGTCACCAGGTATTAATGAATCCCGTGGCAGTCAGCGTGTAAGGCTAATAACATCCATCTCATAAAAGTATCTCATAAAACCTTCAGAAAATCAAATCAATGAGCATGATGAATGCCTACCTGTTCGTAGAATTAATTAACTATCTCACCTTTCTCTCATCTCTTTCTTTTTCTTTACTTTCTCCCTCTCTCTTCTACGACTCCGAATCGCATCCTACAACTTCCTACTTTCTACTCGTACTTTACCATTCTGGTTTTTCGATTGTTTCTATGGGCGGTGTGATGTATAATGCAGATAGAGATGGCAACAAAGTCACAACCGTGGTGGCTACGCCTGGTGCTGGTCCAGATCGTCCACAAGAGATCTCCTACACAGACACTAAAGTAATCGGCAACGGCAGCTTCGGCGTTGTGTACCTAGCGAAACTATGTGACACGGAGGAACTGGTCGCCATCAAGAAAGTTCTCCAAGACAAACGATTCAAGGTAAGAGGAGCACAGATTTTTCTAACGTTTAAAATTTCAGCCACTGCTAATATCTTATTATAGGGATAGAACACTTTTGTGAGTCGAGCTGTGCGATTTCAGACGATCGATTTACTAAGTTTTTCTACTAGAAACTCTAATTTAGAGTACTATATATATTATTATTATTATTACTTTTTATCAGTTTTAAAAATCGTAAGAAAATATGCAATTGAAGACATTGAAAGCGAATTTACGAGTTTTTTTTTTTTTTTTTTTATTGAAACGTAGAGATAGCTTGTGATTAAATTATAGAACTATCGAAAAAGAAAAATAAGAAACGTTCTATTATTCTAACATATTGTATTTCAAGGGGTATCATGCTGTTAAAAGTTAATGGAATTCGAACAAAAATCTTCATTTTCTACATCAAAATTTTTTTTTTTTTTTTTTTTTTTTTTTTTTTTTTTTTTTTTTCAATTAAATTTATAATTTAAGGAAATCGTAGGTTTCACAGACAAGTCTTTGACTATGTGCAAAGAAAATATCCTTTGCGAAAGGTTAACCTTTAGTCTGATTTCTTACTCGTTTGCTGCTGTAATGATGAGAATTAAAGGTTATTAAGTCAATAATTTATTTAATTAAGATATAATTAAAAGTACAGTGATCAATATTGCGCGTAAAAATACTTTTAAAATAGTTCGATAAAAAGTTTCAATTGGAATTAGTAAGTTATAATTGATTTGCGGCGAGTCTAAAGCGATCTAATTGTAGATCATGAAGACACTTGCAAGAAACGCGAAATATTGAAGTAATAATATAGATTTTTTTGATAAATTACTACAGGATTCATTGAAATATTGAAAACATTAAAATTGTAAAGGTACTGATAAGTGTGCGAATCAGAAAGAATGTAGAGTGCTTGCCTCGTCATGATTGAAAATATTTTTTGATAAAAAGAATCCCTCTGTATTTGTTTAAAGATATTTCAAACGCCTCTTAAATTAATTACGTTATAATTCTATCGTCAATTGAATAGAGAAAGCGTAGAAATAGAAATAAATTCTGACTAAACGTAGTAAAACGTAGCAAAGGATTCATAACAAATGATTTAGAAAGTAACTGTATTTTTATCGCGAAATCTAATTAATCGCACGTAACTGAAATTTAAACATACAATTGCAGATGATAGATCCGCAGATCCTTTACTACTGACTCACGGCTCAAAGTTAGAAAGTAATGTTCAACTTGGGATCACAGTTCGTCCGATCATCGTTCATACCTGGACTTTAACGATCGGATTGACCAATTTTGTATTTCACTTCCAGCAGAAAGTTAACAGAAATTATAGCGCAGGGAACAGACGAAGGTCCGGATAAAACAGACGGATCCTTCTTCTGCCAGATGGAAAGGCTCGATCGAAACTAGACGTCGTTTTCTAACACGTATTATAGTAATCCCGCGATTCGAGGTAGCTACGATTCAAAAAACAATAGCGTCTGCGTGATCGTAACCCTATACTTAAAAAGGATAGTCTAATTTTTTTTAATCTTGGAATACATTTGCAAATTTCTACGATATCCTTCTATTATCTTTATATTTTTGATTGAAAGTCGTAGAAGTGAAACAAAAAAGAGGGAAAAAATATGCAGAATGTTTGAGCAAATTGCAACCATGGTATTTCGAAATAGCACGAGTTCTTTATTTAACTTACCTTTAATTCATTTTTTTTTTTTTTTTTCGGTGCCACGATATTTGAGCCACTTATATTTCTTGTAAATATGTAAAGATCGCAATCTATTAATCATTATCCCAAATTTTGAGTAATTTGTATAGTATTCGGTATATTAAATTCTACATCGTTTATATTTTTTGTATATTAAAAAATATTTTGTATTTTTTTAATTTTATGACATTTTGCAATTTTTAGTGATACCTATTCTATCGTCATAAAATTTGAAATAAAGCGCCATCTTCCATCTGTGTAATATATCTGTGTGTTTACGCAATGCTATGGTCATTGAAAAATATCTGAAGGATGAAATTTGTATGTTTATTTTAAATTTTTAACCAGTAAATAAATAAATTGAATTATGTTGGAAACAGTCATGCCAGTAATTCAAACTGTACTCCTGCTGTTACGAGATGTTCATGGTTTTTTCGATCCAATAGCGCATGTACTCACTTTTCGATGAAATTAGATTTATGTCGCCAGATTCATAACGTTTGAGAAACGTTAATGCCACGACCTTGATCTACGTATTAAATCTGAAACGGCAACAATTTTAATTGAAGATGAGAGAAGGCAAAAACACGAACGAGAAATTGCGTGAATTAATCGGATTTTCCCTTCGTTTTATTTATAGAACAGAGAATTGCAAATTATGCGGCGTCTCGAGCACTGCAACATCGTGAGACTGAAATACTTCTTCTACTCCAGTGGTGATAAGGTAACTATTTGCCATGCGACTTCCCCTGAACGATAATTCTTCGCACACTTCGATTGAAATTGTCAAACTTGTAACTTGTAACTGTGATTATTGCCATTGAACGATATTATATTGTACGATCTAGCTCGTAAAAATGACTATACTTTTTCGAACGTTTTCTGCGTTACGCAACTCTTGTCCCTTGATTGTTTCTCTCTTTTATGTTTCTTTTTTTTTTCTGTTTCTTCTATTATACTTACGATACGTGGTTATTTTCAAAAATACTGGAATAGTAACAAAATTTGAATATATAACAAAGGTGTTTTGTATGATATCGAACGTATAATAAATTTAAAGTAAGAAATTATTTTACGCAATAAATATATTATAGAAATAAATTATAGAAAGCATAGTATACCTTTTGTACATTTTCTCTGCAATTGGAACACTTTGAAAGTTTTTTTCATAAATGTTTAAAAATTCATATTCCATCTTCGAGTAATAAATATGAATAGAAATAAAATTATTTATATTTTGTAATTATATAATCATATTTTAATAATCCATACGAATCTTTTAAATGTTACTATTTGAACTAATGGCAGTGTGCTTTGTTGCTACATTATTAATTGTTTAAAATCAGTTTCATTCGCGATAAAAGTAATTTCCAAGTAATTTCAGGGAATCAGAATGAAATGTTTGTTACTGTTCGAATATCTTCGAAAGTAGCTGCAGAAGTAGAGCGATACTTTTTGATTTCACTCGAATGAATATACAATGATACACGAAACGCCAAGTATTCGTTGTTAGTTTTAATGCATGCGACATTGTTGTGTTATTTTGTAGAACATCTTAAACGCAACTAATCCAGTTTTTCATGTGGACGTAAGTGAACAAGCGAGTACCCAGTAGTTTTGACGGAGAGATCCTTTTTTTGAGAGAATCTAGGCAGCTCCGCTTACACATAGACAGATTAGCGATCAAAAAAAAAAAAAAAAAAATAATAATAATACGATAACACGTTATCGTTGTCTCTCAGCCAGTCGCGAAGACATCGTAGAACACTAAATCCGAAGTCTATAGCCTGAGTCAAAGAACTTCGTTGCTCAAGGCCGTCCAACCCCCCTACCATCGATCATGTTCAAAGCTGTAACCCCCACTCCTATCGGTCCATCATGCATACCGGTTACCACGTGTGTTGCAGTACCAATTATTTTTGGAATTTTCTATTTTTCTAAATAGAATGGTTTTACGAAGACATACAGCACTATGCGAGTGGGCTTAGGCTCTGTAATTAATTATATTTGCTAAGAAATATTTCCTTGTGATATTAATGAAAATTAATTATGTTTAATTATTGTTCTCACACTGTTACTGATTGATAGATCTTATAGCTTTCACTGATATTATTTCTAAATTTTGTAAAAGGAATGAATGGATAAATGAAATCTTGGTTTTAATGTCACGAATAAGGAAGAAAGTCAAATGTATGAGTAGGTTATTTGAAATGATAAAAAGAATCAAATGTTTAACAGTTATTCGACAAAGTTTCGCAGTAAATTATTTAGAATCATATTAGTTAGCAACAGATTTGAAAAGGATATCAAATTTTCAGAAAATGAATAGTCTGAGATTCTTCCATAGTACTGTATGATCCTATAATCCTTCTGTTTTTGGGTTTTAACTTTTGGTAGTGGAATGTACCCTTGAGTGACCGTGTTTTTGATTCAAGCTGCAGTAGCTAATGCAGCTTGACTAGTTCTAGAAAATAATGAATTACGTGTGCACAGTTCAAAGATATCACGCACATGAATCGCCATGTAAAATTCTGTTTAATTTGTAGGATGAAGCGTGTTGCGCTAGGCAAAAGAATTTTCCTTTCGAGTTGCGTGTACCTTTGAGACGGCACACCTTCTGCATATGTTAATTGTATACTAACAATCGTTTTTGCGGATTTCTTTTAGAAGGACGAGGTTTATCTGAACTTAGTGCTGGAATACATACCTGAAACTGTGTATAAAGTCGCTCGGCATTATAACAAAAGCAAGCAAACCATACCAATCAATTTTATTAAGGTGAGAACAAACGATCATCTTTAAATTTTATACCGATTCCATACAAATGAATAATACATTTTTCTAAGAAATTTTGCAAGCAGAACTTTAGAAAAAAAGTTCGATCGATTATTCAAATAATTTGATTTCAAGTGAACAAGAAATATTTCTGTAAATTCCTTACGTAAAAATTCTTTCAAATATTCTTTCCGTAATAATTTCAAAATGTCTTTATCTCAGTCAGCTGTAATTTTCTTGATAAGAAAAAACTCGTTTTCACAAGAGTGACGTGTCGGAAATTACGAAATTACTAAACTTTACGTACAACAATTATCTGACGTGCAATTATCCACGATGATTCACAAACGTATTTAAACACTTTGAACTAACAATTTTCCTCGCATTTGATTCATCACAGTCATTACAGTTGATATATTTTTAATTCCTTCAACAATGTAAATATTCTTTTGTGCTTTCAGTTGTACATGTATCAACTATTCCGCTCTCTGGCATATATCCACTCGCTGGGGATCTGCCACAGGGACATCAAGCCACAGAATTTACTCTTGGATCCAGAATCCGGCGTGTTGAAGCTCTGTGATTTTGGATCGGCTAAACACTTGGTCAAAGGAGAACCCAACGTGTCTTACATCTGTAGTCGTTACTATCGCGCGCCCGAATTAATCTTTGGTGCTATCGATTATACCACGAAAATCGGTACGGCCATTTATACAACATTTTTATTTTCATCAAGAACAACTTAAGAATAGTAATTTAAAAATAGGACATTGATATTTATTACATTTTATAATATTTATTACATAGTAGAGCTTCATCGTTTATATACTATCCTTATTTCTATTTAATCTTCAATATGAAATTCATCTAGAATATGGAATAATCTGTTATATCATATTTGTATTTAATATTAAAATATACTGTTTTGCTTCGTTTCTGTAATAATATTTTAACTTTTAATTTTAATTTTGAACTATTATTTTCGTTTTTCAACTGTTCATATACCATTTCTATTAATGTAAAACTTATTTGCGTATTTAGATT